AAAAATGTTACAACATTATGAACACTGTGGCAAAAAAGAAAAAGTGACTTTTTCTTCTAATACACCTTTCATACTTTAAACTGCATTTAATGGTCAATGTAAATATACCAAAAGATGCAGCACATTTCGGGCTTTCTTCCTATATATAGTAGGTTGATAGATAAAAAACGTATATTAATAAAAGACAAAAAATTCAAAGGGTATACTTTCAATGGGCGTGGACTGTATATATGACAGAATCTCTTGATTTACAATATTTTTCTGATCATTCGTGTTTTACATTTTAATCTCACAGAGTAAAATAAAGAATCGAATTTTTGTTTTTTTTTTTTTTGAATGTTTAAGGTCATATTCCAATTCATCCAAGTGCATGTGATCATCTTGATCTATTATGGAATTATAAAGAAGTATTAGATCTTTTATGGCAATTTGATGGTACTGTTCTCGCTTATATTGCTGGTCATGATCATGATGGTGGTTATTTTCGTGATCGAAAAAATATTCATCATTTAACATTACAAGCTATAGTGGAATGTGATCCAAATACAAATTCATTTGCAACTGTACATGTCTATAACGATTGTCTATTAATTGAAGGTGTTGGTCGTATTGGTACCTATAAAATTGATTGTCAATTGTAAAAGTGAATCAACAAAGAACAAAAAAAAAAAGAAAATAATATAAAAAAAAATTTAATATTTTCTTATTTATATGACACTGATATTAAAAAATATTATTTTATCTATTTTCCTTCTATTTTAGATTAACTTTTTATTAAAGAAAAAATTATGCGTCTATATAATCGTGTTGTATTAATGCATCGTAAACAAATATGGCAACCATGGACTACACAAGTAAGTTATTCTATTTGTATTTCTTGTTTTTCTTTTAATTTTTGTTTTTACTATAATATAGGGTCGCTCAATTTTTAATTATGCAATGGAACACGTTCCGCATGTAGTTTTGGGTATTCCTTTTGCAGCTGTGTGTAAGTTTTTCATCTTCAGAAAAAAAAAAATAAATAAACAAAAAGAATTCATGTCTTTTAGTTATGGTAATTATTTTAAGTAAAGAAATTTATAAAGCAAATGCTTATCAATTTAATGTCTATAAACGACGAGCTATGGGTTCGTTATTGAATTTTTGTTATTCTTTATTTAAGACTTGATGAGGCTTTTTTTGTTTCTTCTGTATATTTTAGTTCGCCGACCAGAAGACGTACCTATTGAATATCGACCATTCTGTAGTTGAACAACATCTGGATGATAAACATCGACTTTTTTTTCCTCTCCCTTTTTCCTATCATCCATTAGTAGAATATTGTGTATATTATGTTTTCCTTTTTGAAAGAAAAAACAACCAACATGATTTTGCTGCTCTATCATTTAGAAAGTAATTTTTAAGCTTTTAAAATTTTGATAAAATCATACATGTTTGCCGTCTCTATAATGAACTCATTTGTCATTAATTGAACATAACCTTACAACATAGATAAAGTCATCATCGAAGAATATATATATATCTACATTATGAATAATTGTATAAATATGATCGTTTATTACTATTCTAATAACGATAGTAATTATAACAAAAATGAACACAATAATAAATGAGTCTTTGTTTTAAAAAGAAATGTATTTTCTTAATCTTTGTTTTTATGTACATTAAAGTTCATTAGAATAAGAATATAAATTAATCAATATATTCAAATGACATTTTAATGTCAATCAGAGATTTATTTTGTTTTTGTTGACAAGAAAAAAAAAGCCAAAAATTTATTAATAAATGATTAAGATGAAAGGAAAATAACAATCTCAAAAAGTTATTTTTAATATTCAAGTAGATATGCAAAAATGCTATTGATAATAGACACGCTATAAGACTCACATACAATAACGAAATACACAAGAGAAATATGTTGAGAATTTATGTAGTATTTTTCTTTCTACATTTTTTATGACTTTTTTTTGTTTGCATTTTTCTTCTTCTTCTTCATGTTCAAAAACAACTGATTGATCATAAGAACAGAAGAAGATTGATGGTCAAATAGAGTCAATTAAAAACAGCAGTGCAAAGACCAATAAACATTGTTGACCCTCGGTCAGCATTTAAACAAGAAGAAAGAAGAGAATATAAACGTCATTCATTATCGATCTACTGAGTAAGCAAATTGTGCCGGAGAACAAAGTTGATATTTGTATTGTTGTTGATGTCAATAAAACAATGTTTGCTTATTATGGGTTAGAAAATATATGTTCTCTTTTTTCATATAGTAGACAATTGTCTATGAATAAATATATAGAGATAAATACTACTGTAGCCATATCTTTGAAAGATATATAATATATTTGATACATATTATTATTATTATTGTTATATGAATAATTGATAAAAGTTTTTTCATATAAATTAATTCTATTATTTCATGTTATTGTTTAGTATGAAAAATTTTGTTCATTTTGAAATACACCTATTTGATAGGTTACACGATGATATTGTAATTTATTCAAGATGATATCTTTCTCATTCAGATTTTGTTTCATACTAATTTCTGTAGTTAATTTCGATACATTGGATAGATAAAAAAGACCATATATGTCCATACATATATTCATCGTCTGTTCAAATTGATCACGAATGGAAGAAAAAAAAAAAGAAGAAGACATATATGTCCAGTTAAGGAGAAAATTTGTATGTACATCCCGGTAACGAATATCCTCTATCATAAAGCTTCTTTCTTGTTCTCTTTTGCTATTCGCTAATGTGTATCAGGATAACTACGGCAAGAACAGTAAAAATATAATTGAACTCGTATATGTGTATATTTATAGTTGCCTTGGCAGTTGAAGATTTAGTTTAATTCCTCCATCATATTTGTATCGATCATATTTCTTCCTTTTCTTTCTTCTAAATATGTATATATATAAATATATCTGCATACATACACATATACACTTTCTGTTGACTAAATTCTTGACCGTTTGTCACGTCGCGTATCTCTATCGCTAGTTAAGTGAGTAAGAGTGAGAGAAGAAGTGAGTGAATTTGCACGTATATATTCATACATACCATTTTTTTCCTCTTTTCATTTCAATTCAATAGCAATAAACTGAAAAAAAAGACAACTGAAAATCTTAAATAACATGCACAACAGTAAAGTTGTAAGTCATTTTGAGGTTTTTTTTTTCTTCTATTTATTTTTATTTCATCTATCCGTAAATAAATGTTGATATACATTGAGTCAATCTACTCTAGTATTAGTAGTTGTCTTAGATATATCACACATTGGTTCAAAAAGCAATGTATGGTCTCGTCTAATTACTTTGTACTTGTATAACAGAGGAACGTAAATATAAGATTCGCTCTTCACGAGGATGATGATGATGTGAATGAGAAGTAGCAAAATTTATCTTCAATAATCAGAATCATCTGTGTACACTAACGCATAAATGAAGAAGAAGAATACGAAGAATGATTTTTCGCGTTTGAACAATTCTCTTTTTCTCTCTCGCACATTGTCTATCAATATGATTTGATGAAACATTTCATATATATATAAAGAACAAAAAAAAAAATATTCTCTCTGTCTCTCGAGGACATAGAAAAAAGAGAATAAGAAGAAAAACGACGATATATGGTCAGTGTGCATAATTGCTGACATAGAAGTAAGTGGCTATCAAGACACACATAAGCAATTCGACGAAAAAAAAAAAGAAAAAGAAAAAAAGAAACTTCTTTTCTGTTTTTCTTTTGTGAACATATACAACAAAAAAAAGAAAACCGAGTTTATTTCATTTCAAGGTAAATACAAAACGTGAACGCAGTTCATCAAACAAAAAAAATCAGAACAATAATAATATATCTAAGCAACCATTAAAAACAGAATCATTTCATACACTTCGTGCTTTAGTAACCGGTTTTACAAGTACATCAACAAACATGTCTGATGAAATAAATCAAAATGATGCATTTATTATAAAACCAACATCAATGGATATTTTACATGGTCAACCACTATTAACAAAATCTCTTCAAGTTAAAATTTCTAATGATAATAAAAATGCACATGAATTACTTGATGAACAAAATAGTATATCATCACTATCACATATCGATCATAGCATTGATAGTGGTCTATCATCAGAACTAACATATACAGAAAATGAAAAGACAATTGGTGATGATGAATTACATTCAACAAGTACGAATAATATATCAACAAAACATCAACGTGGATCAAGTCCAACAAGTGGTGTTATTATACCTGAAGAAAGACGTGTTACTGATCGTGTTAAAGTATTTGAAGCTGTTGCTAATCATAATGATAATCAAATAATTAAAAATGGAAATACAAAAAAAAAATCTTTAACATCATCAAGTTTTTCTATTGGTGATCATAAACCAATATCATTAATAGATACATCCGATACACAATCAATAAGTGAAATAAAATCGTCGAAAACAAAATCAAAAAAATCATCATTAAAAAAACAAATACAAAATTTACTTAAAATTGATAAATCATCAATACAAGATGATTTAAATTCTGTTGAAGAACAAATTATGAATGGAAAAAAAAATAAAAAAGATAATAGTAATAAAATAAAAAAATCTTTTATTTTATTTCTATTTTTAATCAATAAACTTTTTTTTTTATTTAGATTTAATGTCAACATTTAAACATCAATCATCATCAAAAAATTCTATTGAACCACTTGAAATACAAATTCCACCAACAACAAATAATAATGATAATTCATCATCAACAACTGTATCAAAATTAATTAATACATTTCAAGTTAATGATATGGAACCAACAGTAGTTGCACCAAAATTAAATACTCCTCCTGTGCAATTGGAAAATGTAAGTGTTCTTTAGGAAAAAACAAGCCAGAATTACATACAGCTCATTTGTTCTATATTCATATTGATCTGATATAGAACAGTTTTATTGATTCTTCTTTTGATCTTTTCCTTGTATGTTTATACGTATGAACGGGTAAACTCATATTTAGTTCAGCTTGAATGATTTTTTTTGAGAGATACATACACAAAATAGTTTACTTCGCTTATGATGATAAATGATTGACGTGTTGTTTTATCTCAATTGACATGCCACAGGCGCGAAATGTATTATTTCTTAAGAGTAAAAGTGCATTTAAGTGATCTTCAATTTCTTTTTCTCGTTTTTATTCTAAATCATACAGGTTAAAGCTTATGCTATTGTTGTTTAAGAAGATACTAATCTTTTGCGAATGAATGTTGATGTCGGTGATAAATAGTTCTTAGTTTTATCTGTAATCTAATCTGGATTTATTATACCATTTTTCTTAAATATCACTGTGTGTGTGTGTGTGTGTGGATGTATTGATTAAAATTTCTATGTCTTCACCGATTTTGTATATACACAAAAAAAAGGTTTCTATTATTGTTTTTGAATCTTTATATTTATGAAGAAATAATCAATAGAAAAGTTTACTTTTTTTTCTTCTTTCTTCTTCATACGATTGTTGCCGACATAAATCAATATGGAAACTCTTGGGATAAAATTTTCATTTTCTCTTGTCTCGTTTTCATATATAAATGATATGCATGTTTAATGTATAATTCTTCATTTTCTTTCAATTCTTAGGAGTTTTTA